GACAATATTTTGCTTAGTATTCTAGTGATTTTATGTAAACTGCATACCCTAGACTTCCTTTTACTACAGATTATTTCACAATTACAAATTGTCTAGATGATTTCCTTATTATTTGAAAAGCTATTTGGCTCTATATCACCTGCTTTCTTCCATAATCATTGTCCCAGAAGATTATAAATAAACGTTGTATTTTTTTATGTAAAAATATTGAGAGACTAAAAAATGTTGTGTGTTGGCATATAATAGTTGCAAAAACTGTTAATGAGAATTCAAAACATTCTGGGTGCCATGTGTTCAGTTGCATCCTTCCCCAAAGATACATTGAAGTTTTAACTCCCTATATTTTAGAAATTGAACTTCCTTGTAAATATGAGTAGTTGTAGATGTAATTAGTTAAGACAAGGTTATCCAGGAACAAGATGTGTGTCCTTAGTTTCATATGACTGTCTTTATAAGAAGAGACAAAGAAGGAGAGAGTTTTGTGACAACAGAGGCAGAGATTGCTGTGATGCGTTTACAAACCAGGGAATGTCAGGATTGCCAATAAATGCCAGAAACTAGGAAGAGGCAAAGATGAATGATATGCTAGAGCTGTCACAAAAAGCAAGGCTCTGTTGTAGCTTCTCAGCGACCAGTTATGGTACTTTGTTTTGGCAGAGCTAGGAAATAAATACAATGGGATATCCACATATGCTTCATAGATCAATTTATTGTGCATGGAAAGTTTTTTTTTTTAATTTTGTGAAACTTCAACATACAGAACAAAACAGGAAACAATCAAATAGTCCAGAGAATATTATTACTACTGTGTTACAACTGTTGATCATTGATCTCAAGTGTGTGTTGTTCATGTAATACTATTTGACTTTTTTTTTAGGCTGAAATTTGTACAAACTTGTTTGTATTTAAATTCCAATCTAATGCATGAGAGAATACAATTACTTTCTACTTTTTAAATTGTTTGATAAAATATTCTTTCTGGAGCACTTTGTATGTATTTATTATAAGCAGGTTAATATGTTGCTAGATGTGTCAAAGGATTTTTGTGTAAGAAAAATTATCATGAGGAGAGAGCAGAGAAGACTTCTCATCAAGCCTGTAGATAAAAGAGAAAACATTCCTGTCATTAAACAACAAAGTCATTGCAATATCATTATGCTTTTCTGATTTGGAATTACATCCATATCTATTGCTTTATGTTTGATCAAGTGTTGTCAATTGCCCCTTTGTTATCCCCTACTTGGACTCTACCAAATGATAGCCAGGCTACTCTGAGCCCTGAATTCTGCTGTCCTTAAAAGTGGAAACTTTTAAAAGTGGATACCCTGAGAATAGGATGACCAGTGTGGATACTTTTTCCTTCTGGTCATTTCCTCATGCTGGCTGACCTTCCCCTTAAAGGTTAACATCTTGCCAAAACCGGTTTGGCTCAGTGGATAGTGTGTCCGCCTACAGACTGAAAGGTCTCAGGTTCGATTCTGGTCAAGGGCACTTACCTTGGTGGCGGGCACATCCCCAGTGGGGGGTGTGCAAGAGGCAGCTGGTCAATGTTTCTCTCTCATCGACATTTCTAACTCTCTATCCCTCTCAATTCCTCTCTGTGTAAAAACAATAAAAAATATTTAAAATATTTTAAAAAATCATCTTAACTTACCTATTTCTTAAGTTAACATCTTAACTTACCTATCTCTACCCTGTATGAAGAAAAAAAAAAAAAAACCTTTTCTGTTCAAAATTGTGACACTTGCATATTTCTGAGAGTTGAGCATTCTCCCCAGGCCTTGTCTAAAATTTGATAAGTTTTTACCTGACATGACAAATGTTCCTTAACCCAAAACAATGCCTTGGTTAAAATTACTCACATAAAAAGCTTTATTAAAATTATTCCAAAGTAATTATATCATCTGATTCCAATTTGGAGTAAATTACTGCTATCTCTACTATGTCTTTCTTAGTTCTAGCTCTTAGTCCCCATCTTAAATTATTGTGCTAGTTCCCCTGTGAACTTGTGTATGTTCTGTCAATACTCTCCTCATCCTACAGGCCATACTGCGGCTTGAGCAACAGACCTCAGTAACACATCCAGTCACATCACTACTTTGTCAAAAGCTATTCTGGCTGGCTTTATATCCATCTTCATGACTAGACAATAAGCTGTTTACTGCAGAGTCTCTGCTTAAAGATATTTGTATCCTAATGCTATCTCACTGCATGCTCACCATGTAGTCCACACATGTCTGATGACTAAATGAATGCAAATATCAGCTGCATTCCTGTTTCCTAAAATAGTATTACAAGGAACAGCATTTATTTCCAATTGTTCCTTTCAAGTCTTCCAAATAATTCCTTATTTCCATGTCTTTAAATCTCCTGGCCAAACTAATTTTATACAAACTTATGACTTTTTCATGTGTTTTAAGGTCTTACAAAACATTGAACAAAAATTGAAAAATTTATTGAATAAATTTATATGATCCTTTTCCCCATTTGTCACTTCTCACCTAAAGTTTATTCTGCATGTTAATCACTTGGCCTTGAATTTCAGTGCTATTCACTTTCAAAATTAAAATAACCAAATGATCTTCTTTAACCTTGCCTACATAAACCAAGCAAAACAGAGGCACAAAACAAAGTTCCTTGAAACAAACAAAACAAAACAAAACAAAACAACTTTCTCACCCTAGACAACAGAGAATTATTTTTTTACTGAAAGGCATATTTGTTAAGCACTTTTATGTGCTAACTCAGGACTGAGAACTTGCATCCATTTCTTTTTCATCCCCTTCTCTAGTTTCATTTTGCATTCAATCTATTGAGGTTTCTTCATTAGGCTTCTTTCTCCTATTTTTTTTTTTTTAAGTTTTTCTATCACCAGCATCTCAGTTTGCCTGCCCCTTCTCTTAAATAAAGTGAACTCATTTCATCCATAGTTGTCTCTCTCAAATAGTATTTTTAATATACCCGTACTTGATCAATTATATTTAGCTATTAGTAATGCCTATGGATAAGTTCAAACTCCTAGCTGCATCAATAATTGGAATTCAATTTGAATAAATTATCACTCTGCATTTAATGATAACTGATATCTGTGGTAATTATTTTAACTCTGAGTTGCAGAACTCCTTTATTTTTCAATGTAATATTCAATGTCTCATGGAATTTGTAATAATCGTATTAGATATAAAACTGACTTTTAAAAAATAAGTTGGTAATATTCTCTCATCTTCTTGTTAAAATTATCCAACCATGGATTCTTATCCTAATTGCTCATCAGAGTCCCAAGGCAAAGTTTCTCAAAGTTTATTATGTTATGAATCAAATAGGGATCCTATTAAAATCCAAATTCTGATTGAATAAGTCATGGTGGGGCTTCAGAGTCTAAGTTTTAAAAAAGTTCCCAAATAGAGTATGTGTGCCTCCTTCAAATATTACATTTTAAAAGGACATGTTTTAAATAATATGCAGGACAGATTTAATGCTGGGCATGGTATAGTCACAATCATATACAACTTTAATCATGGGCATTGTTGGAATGTGTCTTTCAATAGTCTCACCAATTCTCTGAATTAGGTACATCCTATATAATAAAAGAGTAATATGCAAATTAACCATCACTCTGCTACACCTACAAGCCATGCCCACCAGCCACGCCTACCAGCCAATCAGAGTGAATATGCAAATTAACCTCAACCAAGATGGCTGTGGCCCTGGAGTGAGTAGGAGGGAGGCATGGATTTTCCTGGTGAGGGAGAAAGCTACACTTTTCACACACCCTAGCGGGCCCAGGCCTCCACTCAAGAGTACAAAGTTTCAATTATAGAAGATAAATAAACCCCAGATACCAGGGTCTCTGCTTGGGTAGCCAGGGGCATAGCTAGCCTGAAAACCACCACAGGCCCCTCACCCAGGCTGCCTCATGTCCCAAGGGAACCCCCATCCTGATCTGGGACACCCTTCAGGGCAAACCAACTGACCCCCACCCATGCACCAGGCCTCTATCCTATCTAATAGAAGAGTAGTGCAGATTGACCATCACTCCAACACAGATGATGGCTGCCCCCATATGGTCAAACATCCTGCCTCCATGTGGACACAAGATGGCCACCACCATATGGCCAGCAGGGGAGGAAAGTTGAGAGGGACCAGGCTTACAAGGGAGGACAGATGTGAGTGATCAGGCCTGCAGGGAAGTGCAGTGGGAGGGACCAGGCCTGCAAGGCAGGACAGTTGGGGATAATCAAGCCTGTAGGGGAGGGAAGTTAGGGGTGACCAGGCCGGCAGAGGAGGGAAGTTGGGGGTGACTGGGCCAGCAGAGAAGGGCAGTTTGAGGGGACCTAGGCCTGCAGGGGAGAGCAATTAGAGGGACCTGGCCTGCAGGGAAGGGCGGTTAGGGCAAACAAGCTGGCAGAGGAGCAGTTAGGCATTAATCAGGCTAGGGGGTGATCAGGCTGACAGGCAGAAGTGGTTAGGGGCAATCAGGAAGGCAAGCAGGCGAGCAGTTGGGAGCCAGCAGTCCTGGATTGTGAGAGGGATGTCCAACTGGTGGGTTCAGGCCTAAATAGGCAGTTGACCATCTCCCAAAAGGGTTCCAGATTGGAGAGGGTGCAGGCTGGGCTGAGGGACATGTTTCTCCCCCACTCCCTCATACACAAAATTTGTGCACTGGGTCTCTATTATAAAACCTGTTTGTCCATGGGAAAATTGAAGTTTAAAAATATTAGCAATTGTTCAAGTTCATGAACCTAGTAGTTGTCAAACCAGGTTCCCCATAAAAATAAAGCCTGCCTCTAATCACACCAGCACAGAATTTTAATTTAAGAAATATTTAGATAAATAAATGCACTTTAGGAAAGCTCCACCTAGCTATATTACTTATACTCATCTGGTTTGATTTGATGGATTCATTTTATTTATTCTTTTTTAACTCTCATAGCTGAAATCCCTAGAGAACAAAAAATGTAACTAGATGCAGCTTACCTCTGTCATCTGTTCTGTGCTTATTAATTTCCTGCATATGGATATGGATATGGATACGGATATGGCTGTGGATATGCTGGTGGGTAACTGGGTGGATACTGTGGATATGGATAATATCCTCCCTGAAAAGATAAAATTGCAGAAAATTGAGATAATGACAATATAGATATTTCATAATACTTTCTATTAAAAACTTTGTTAAAATTGGTAGGAACTCATGTTTAAAAGAAGATAAAAATTTTAAAAAATCTATAGTTATACTCTTTGTTAATAATTTTGTTGTTTTATAATAAGGTAGAGCTGATTATAGCCATCCCCTCACAGAAGTTTTAATATTCCTTAAAATATTACCAAGCTCCTTATTTGTCCATCCTTGAATTTTCCAAGGAGAAGGAATTAGCTAATTCCAGGTTAGGTAGAATTGTTTTGTCTCAATCTCTACTTATAATGAACTTACTATCTCTTCAAACTTCTACTTTCTTTAATATTCAATCCCATTAAATTCAATATCTTTCATCCCTCCTTCTTTATATTTTAATTTGATGTTAAAATTCATCTATTCAATATACTAGTATTAGTAAGAATTTTGAGACCTTATCATGTTGAGGTGGGATGTAAAAAAATACATTTCATTAAAAAAGAATACACTTCACTACAGAATGTCAAATTAATGAAATTTTCTCTTATTTAATAAGATCAATTTAACTTAATCTAGTGACTTTCTCATCTTCCACAAGAATCAAAAGGTGAAAACTTACCACATTACCAGAGTCATTAGCAGCCTCTATGTTCTATTATGCATACATTATCCTTAAATAGCTATACAATTTCAACTATTCTTTAGACAACTAGTTAACAAACAAAGATACTTGCCTTCTGTAAAAAATAAATTGGCTTTTTCAGGATAGTATTATGAGTTTCTACCAAAATATTACCAGTATATAACCTTTATGTCCTTTTCCACTAACTATATATATAAAAGCTTAAGCAACCATCACAACCAAATGGACAACAGAGCAGGCTGTGTTGGGGCAACTAGGCCAGCAGGGGGGTTAGAGAGGGGCGACTAAATGACTAAACAGGAGGCTGCATGGGGCCACCAGGCCTGAAATGGGGGCAGTAAAGGGCAAGTAGGCCAATGGGGGAGGGCAGCTTGGGGTGACCAGGACAGCATGGGGGCAGTAAGGGGAAACTAGACCAATGGGGGGCAGTTGGGGGTGACAAGGCCTGCAGGGGGGTCAATTAGGGGCAATTAAGCAGGCAGGCAGGTGAGGCAGTTAGGAGACAGTGGTCCTGGATTATGAGAGAGGTGTCCAACCCTGAGTGGTGCCAGATTGGAAAGGGTGCAAGCTGGGCTGAAGGGATCCCCCCACCCAACCCCCTGTACATGAATTTCATGCACTGGGCCTCTAGTATCATAATAAATAAACTCAATGTCTCCATTAGCTATTTACTATATGGACATGTTTCAGAGATAAGGAGTGATTCTTCTAATAGAATAATTACTTAGACAGGAGAATTAATTTTATTATACCACGTTATCTGGGCAATACTTACACGATATCTGTTTCTATAGTAACCACGTTTCTGTTAAAATAAAGAACAAATTAAAATTATTATCCATGTTTACCTATCAAGTTTCTAAGTATGTGATAATGTCTTACCTCTTCTGATGAAGAAGAATCAGCACTCTTGAAAAAAAAAAGAGAGAGAGAAAAGAATGAACATCTCAATTGTATAATTCTAGATTGAGTGTCAAATGCGCTTGGCTTCCACAGTTATGATTAAACAAAATGGAGGCAAAGCCTTAGGTAAATGATGCACAAAGTTGGCTGCTTCATGTTAGTGACAAAATGAAGACTAGGCTTAGGCTATAATTAATTCATTACATTCCAATATCAACTCACTTGGATCCAAATTTATTTTTTCTGATAAGGAAGAAAATCCACCACTATGACCAGGAGAGTGAAAATGAAAAATTAAAATGTGGATTAGCTCAAGACCATGTATGTTCTCAGTTGCTGAAAAACTATGTACATTTATATATTGATTGTACAGGTACAGACTGGTGTTATGATTATGGTTTTCTGTTCTCCCTTGGATTTTTACTTTGTTTGCACTTGCACTTCTGTGTGTGCTTAGTGTCTGCCTGTGTGTACTCAAGATTTATTCTAAATCCTTAATGTACTGCTGTAGGTTTCCTCAAGAAAACTGTGAACACAAAATCATGTTTGAGTGATGAAACTGTGGCCCACAACACAAGAAATAAGAGACAATCTCTGAATAACTCCTAAGAGCATATTCTTCAAAATGTTCTGATATACTTACAATCATGGCAACCAGGAGAGCCATGATAAAGGTGAAGACAAAGATCTTCATGTTTGGCTGAGTCCTGTAAAAACATACATGACAGATCAATAACACACTCATTCCTGCACTTGAAAATCATTTGTAGAATCCACAGCTTTGGGAAACACTAGAAGTACAGAGAGAGAATTAAAGCACATCACCTGATGTCATAAGACTCAGTCACTAGTAGGGGACATTGATAAGTAAAGATAAGTACAGTAGTTTAGAAATATCATAAAATAAGCAGGCAAAATAGATATCTTAAACAGACGAGGAAAAGGAGGGTGGGAAAAAAATAAAGCAAAGATAAACTTGTATTAGATTATATATTATACACAAAGAGATGTTTGGAAGAACAAAAATGAGAGAAAGGATAGGATATAGGAAATGAAATAGTTCACCAGATAAGAACAAATATGTAGACTGGCTGACCATTTAGATTTTTGTGACATTATAGGGGCCTCACATGTTGACATATTGGATAATAAGTAAGATATGGTTTAAAAAAATGTTTAGAAGTCAGAATTCAAGCAACAGAGACAGGTTTTATAATAGAGGTAGATAAAATCAGTTAGGTCTTATGCTTGAGGATAGTAGAGGTGGTGTAACCCTAGTAATAAAAATTTAATGATAATATAAAAAAGTCAAATTAAAGAGGTTTTAGGGGAAATAATTATAGATACATTGAGCAATTGGGTTGGTAAAAATTATTTAATTTCCAAGTAGTGTTATTCAATGAAATTACCCTAATCTGGGAATTTTATATATGATTTTATAATTCAATATATACAAGTAGATTCAGTTCTGTTGCTGTTGTATAGGAAATAAATCAGGTTATTTATTTCTTAGTTACAGACCTCTACATAAAAACATATTGTAAACTTTAAGGTAAATAGTGAGTATAAGTTTTTCCCTCTGATCAATTTTGGTCCTCAGTTTTGATAGAATAATAGAGTAATATTTTTTTCTGATTATAAAAAAAATTATTCTTTGGCCTAATAATTCTAAATATTTAATATATGAAGCACAAATTGTGATTGATGCTATTTCCCTTGTTTCTTATCTGCTGGTTTTGTTCATTGCTTTAAACTCATGTCTGTGTCATTGGAAAAAACAAAAAATTATACATTTCTTGATGAAGTTTTTAAAATCATCTATTACTTATAAAATATTTAGTCATGTGATGATACAAATAAGGATGCAACTTCTAGTGTTGTTCATATTTCAAACTTTATTGAAAGTAGAGGATTAAGGGAAATTTAAAGAAACTGTCTTCTATAGATAGATAGATAGATAAATAACCAGATAGGTAACTAAGATATTTGAAAGAATATTATCTAAAGAACACAGTGATAAATGTTTGACATAGCATAAAAGTTTTTTCAACCAAATCACTAATGAATTAATAATGTTACATAAAATGAATAAAACAAAAAATCCATTATTCAGTGGTAATTATTCAGAAAATTATAAACTTTTTTATGATTAAAAAAACAATAAAAATGTAATGGAAATGAATTCTTGATGGTCATACAGTATCTATGGTAAAATTTGAAATAATACACACCCGTGCAGAAATAGAGCTTATACTAATCAAGAGGTAATTTTCTTATAAAAGATGACCTTGACCTTTCAGTTAAAGGTCAAACCAAACATTAACAAAGTGGATATTATGTATTGAGTTAAGAAAATAAAAAAGATCCCTGACTGGTTTGGCTCAGTGGATACAGCGTTGGTCTGCAGACTGAAAGGTCCCAGGTTCAATTCTGGGTAAGGGGCATGTACATGCAGGCACATCCCAAGTAGGGAGTGTGCAGGAGGCAGCTGATAGATGTTTCTCTCTCATCAATGTTTCTAACTCTCTATCTCTCTCCCTTCATCTCTGAAAAAATATGTATATATATTTAAAAAATAGAAAAAAAAATAAAAAGGCATCTAGGATATCCCCTCTACATAAGCACATCTCCTTCTTGTTCCACATTTCTTTGGTACAATGCTTGTTGTAAATGTAAAGACATTGCAAATCTTTCCTCAACTTCAAATCCTGACATAAAGTATCACTTCTATAAATTGTTTCTTTATGTGAAATTACCAATAAATAGAGTACATTTTACAAATGGTGTACAACTTACTCTAATAAACAAAAATCAAAATAAGACATTATATTAGATTTCCCATGAATATATTACCTTTTACCCACGATGAGAGTTCAAGAAGCTGAAATTGCAGTCCTGAAAGATAGTGTGCCTTTCTAGAGAACTGATGTATTTATATACCCTTATGAGATCATAATATTGAACTAAAAATCATGCCCCAAATCTGTCCCCACAGATACTAAGAATAGACTTAAATTTTACAATAAAAGACTGTGTAGCGGAGTAACCAGGAAACAACTGTGCCCATCACTTGTTAATCTCAGTATTTGTCTAGGTATGCATGAATAAGCCTCAGAGATATGTAAGCTACAGTAAAGGAAGTGTGGAAATGAATTGAAATGGTAAAAGTATTTCTGCAGAACATCATCTGTTCTATTTGAACAAACATGTCCAAGATGGACAAACTCCCTTCCAAAATGATACTACCTTGCCAAAATTTTTTTAAATATATATTTTATTGATTTTTTACAGAGAGGAAGGGAGAGAAAGAGGGACAGAGAGCTACCCTGTTTCCCCAAAAATAAGACAGCGTCTTATATTAAATTTTGCTCCCAAAGATGCACTAGGTCTTATTTTCAGGGATGTCTTATTTTTCCATGAAGAAGAATACGGTACACATTTATTGTTAAATGAAAATAAAGGAAATTTATTACCTGTATACGGTATGGTAGTATGGTAGTTGTCAACACAAACCAGACAAACTGTGAATCCTATAGTATCAAGAATTTACTCATTTATTCAATGACAATCATGTCATCATCTTATGTAACATCATCATAACAATCCAATTCCTAAATTTCCTGGTGAATTTCTTGTGACTCCATTTCTTTCAGAATCAGTGGACCAAATCTCTCATGTTTAGCCTAGGGGGGCCTTATTTTTGGGGGGATGCCTTATATTTCACTCAGAAGGAAACCTGTAAGTAGGTCTTATTTTCGGAGGATGTCTTATTTCCTGGGAAACATGGTATCGATAGAAACATCGACCAGCTGCCTCCTGCACAACCCCTACCGGGGATGTGCCCGCAACCAATGTATGTGCCCTTGACCATAATCGAACCCGGGACCTTTCAGTCCTCAGACCAATGTTCTATCCACTGAGCCAAACCAGTTTCGGCCCTTGCCAAAATTTTGCTGGTTTTCTAATATATGGTGGCAACTCATAATACAATTAGAGTCATTATTTATTCAAATATATCTCCTACAAGTTGTTACAATGTTCCTTTATTTCTATGGACTTTGAAGTATTTTAAATCTTATGGTATATTCAAAGGTGTGTCAAAATGTACTAAACCAATAAGTATTAGATAATAAGACAATTCTTAGTATTAAAGTCCAATGACCACAGAAGCTCAGTTCTCTATGTCTCACATAGTAACTGGATACTTATGTTTGTGTATTGAATTTCTTTTTTTCAGTCCTTAGGGGCTCATGACTCTCCCTGGGAACCATGTTTAACATAATTCCACTAAATAAAAGGGAAAATTAGTTTTTACTAAGTCCCCAGGCAAATTTGTATAAAAATTCAATTTGTTGCATTTGTTTGAATAATTAAATGTACTCAGAATTAAAATACACAAAAAGTCATTTTTAAGTTTTAGGTATATTTGGTGTCCTAGTCCACTATTACTCGAAATGTTGTTAATGTGACCACCAGTCAGCATCACCTGGGAGCTTGATGTGATAGAAAAGCAAATTCATAGGTCCTCTTCCCAGGCATGTTGAATCAGAATCTAGGAGGTGGATGGAGTATGAATCTCACATTATCAGTTTCTCCAGATGATTCTTTGTTGAACATAAATTTTAAGAAACCACATAATTGACTCATTATGTGTCTATAAACCGAACCCTATAAATAGAATTTAAAGTTTCATTTTTTATCAGATGGTTTAAGGAAATATTTGCTAGGTGTATCTTCTCTGCTATATTTGAACAACCACATTAGATGTTGTTATTTTCTAGGAGGTAAACAAAATATTATTAGTGATTTATTAAGGCAAATAAAATCCAACTCAATTAAAATAATAATAATTTCTTATTAATATCTACAACTTGTAGATAGTCAATTTTCAATGCAAAACAAATTCAAGGTCTAGTGTATTCTCAATAGATAAAAGTTATACAAGGTTTGAGAGTATAAAAATCAATATGATTTAAAAAATATATCCTGCTTTATTTATTTAAGGAATGTCAAATGATTTTTTCTTTCTTTCTTTCTTTCTTTCTTTCTTTCTTTCTTTCTTTCTTTCCTTTCTTTCTTTCTTTCTTTCTTTCTTTCTTTCTTTCTTCTTCCTTCCTTCCTTCCTTCCTTCCTTCCTTCCTTCCTTCCTTCCTTCCTTCCTTCCCTTCCTTCCTTCCTTCCTTCCTTCCTTCCTCCTTCCTTCCTTCCTTCCTTCCTTCCTTCCTTCCTTCCTTCCTTCCTTTCTTCCTTTCTTTCTTTCTTTCTTTCTTCTTTCTTTCTTTCTTTCTTTCTTTCTTTCTTTCTTTCTTTCTTTTCCTTCCTTCCTTCCTTCCTTCCTTCCTTCCTTCCTTCCTTCCTTCCTTCCTTCCTTCCTTTTTCTTTCTTTCTTTCTTTCTTTCTTTCTTTCTTTCTTTCTTTCTTTCTTTCTTTCTTTCTTTCTTTCTCTCTCTCTCTCTCTCTCTCTCTCTCTCTCTCTCTCTCTCTCTCTCTCTCTCTCTCTCTTTCTTTCTTTCTTTCTTTCTTTCTTTCTCTCTCTCTCTCTCTTTCTTACTTATCTCATCTCCTTTCTTCCCTGATCTATTTCTGCAGTGATTTTTCTTGGGTCATGTTACTAGGCACTATTTTGTAGATTTTTGATATTCACTACTTCTGAAGAACGTGTAAAACAGTGATCCAAAGGCACTATTGGATCCA